TGAAAAGTGTAACCCCCCCCCCCTATGAATCACAATTTTGAAATCAAGGGGCTCTCCGGCAAAGATATGGGGATAGGAATAACAGTTCTTTACTAGTATGTATAGCAAGTCAAACAAACAACAATAACTATGGCATTAATAACAAAACAGAACCAGAGACCCCATGACAACCTTCTTGGCCGTGACAGGAAAGGATGGAGGAGAGGCTTTGCTCCACAAGCCCCTCAGGCAGTCAGTCCCGGTGCTCCTGCAGGGCTCTGAGGAGCACCCAGCTGGAACAGCAAGAATGGGCAGAGATCCCAGGCCGGTGGATGAGGTGTATCAGAAGCTCTGCAGCGATGGCTGGCACTGCAGGACGTCCCAGCAGGATAGGGGGGGCCCACAGAAGAAGAGGAAGAAGAAGCTCCCTTTGGATTATGGCGAATTCCTTTCCCCAAGCAACAACAGCTCCGAGTGTGCCACTCTGAAGCCGAAGAAGCAAGTCAGCCAGCAGCTGCCCCCCACCCTCTCTTTTACCTGTCCCCCTTTCCCCTGAGCCCAGCCAAACTCTTATGTCTTCTCAAACACTCAGTAAGTACCAGCAGTCAGGTTTTCCCCACAACTAATAGGGAAAATTCTATAGGTGAGGAGGAACAAAAGGAAGGACACCTAACCCTTTTTACTCATGTGCCAACTTAGTTTTACTCCATTCTGCATCTCTTTCTCTGCATAGTAAGTGCTTACTAGTGCTGTTCAAATGCACCTGCTGTGTGTACTCTGGTCTCAAACTTAGTGCTTCTTCGAATAGCAAGAAGAGGCGATTAAACACCCTAGTATTTAACTTTTTTCCTACATAGGAGGCTCTGAATGAGTGGAATCACGTCACTTTACAGACTTGAGGAAGGTGAAGCAATAAGTTGCCCTGGCTCAGGGGTGTCCTCAGGACAAATACTGCTTGGCAGCAGTTAACATAGTTCAGGAAGGGAGGTGGGCAATACAGAGGGACATTCTAAAAGACAATTTAAACATACAGAATTTAGAATAGTCTACAATAGTAAATAATAGCAATTTTAATGTATCCATAGAAATAGAAGCAATATATAAAATTTTACTACTTTGGATAATTAGAGAAAATGGGTTTGAATCTTTTTCCGATCAATATGGTTTGAATACAGCTAACAGTAAGTTATGGAAAGCTGTGGAAATCAGAAGCCAAAAACATAGTGTTATAAATGAGTAGCCAATTAGATTAATAAAAATAATTTATTAAAAAAATACAATCGTAAAAAGCCACAAGTGAAAATTAGTTTGACGCTGTACCAGGCGAACAGTGTTGGGTGAGACAGGGAGAAGCTTGCTAGCACCGCTTCACCATGCTTCACAAACTGCAACTGTCCTAGGGTGCTTTTTATGTTTTCAGGTTTTTTGGGGGTCTCTTGGAATACACTTCTTGCAGACAAATATTCATGCTGTTTTGGGTGTATATGTTGTAATCTTGTTGGGTTTCTTGGAAATACACTTCTTGCAGATGAATATTCACGAGTTACAATCTTACTGGACGGAGGTTTTTTGTAAATATGCTCCCTGCAGACGCATATGCATGTTGGCCATGCTGCATATTGCTATAATCTCGTCAGAGAAGGTTTCCTGGAAATATGCTAGGATTCTTATCAGACAAGATTATAACTTTAGCGCAAACTTATTTATGCTGTGTATTACAATAGCAACTACATTAACAAGAAATATTGTATTAATATATGATAAGGTTCGAGTTATCTTGCTTTGTCCTATGTTTGAATTTGAAAACTTGAAGATTCTCAAAGTTCTTCTAATTTCTTCAGTAGCTTTTAGTATTTTTGCATTTATGATTATCATCTCTTGGGATTGCATTATCCCTGGGCAGTGGCTGCTTTTGTTTGAAAGAGAAGTTGCAAATGTCAGAAACCATACACTTGAAAAAATAGGATTAGAAGCTGTTGTGTTATCTGTTAAGTGGATATAGAGTAGAAAGATATTTCTGTTCTTCCATTTTAATGTCTTGTTTGTGATGAGCAAAAAGAGCTCTACAGCCTTTTGGGTTATGTTAGAAGCTAGACACGTGTGGCTTTTCACTGTGCACTGAAGTGTTTTATGTAGCACAGTTAAATAACCTTGAAAATTTTACTTTTTTAGCAATGAAGATGCAGGTGTATTCTGAATCATATGAAGTTATGAGCCTAGCTTTGCGAATAGCCTACCTGGACTGGTGTTCTGTTGTTATAACTTCCCTTTTCTTTCTCATGCACAGAATTTTTATCAAAGCTATGAGAAATATACTATTCAAATATACTATTTCAAACAATACAAAGATACCTGAATTAGCAGTTACGTATACCAAAATATTCCACACAGTGACTTCCACATAGAACTACACAGTCAAGCCCACAATACTGAATTATGCATGACATTTTTAATGGTGGAACAAAAGGAGTAGCAGAAGGAAATGCTACAAAGTATGTGCTGCCTTCACTGGTTATTAGGCGCTAGTGTACATGCATGCAGGTCCCAAGATACTCTTTATTGAAACTCTGGTGCTGTGCTATACAAATCAAAGCTGTGTGAAAGCCATACATAATGAGGGAAGAATAAATAACAGGAGAACTCTGACAAAGGGAAGTGCAGAATGCATACCAACTTACTGTTAGAGAGTGAGAAATAAAGTTCCTACATTTGGCTGGATGCTGAAAGTATCAGCTAGTGTAAATATTTACTTTATAGTAAGTGAAAGGACTAGTCTTATTTGTTAGACCGCAGTGATGATGCCTCTCACTGTCTAGTCAGTGAAAACTGGGAGAATGCAACTAAAATTATTTACAGACGGGCTGCTGCATTTTAAGAGGCAGCTGTGCCTAAAGTAATTTCATTGAAATTCTGTACCCTGTTGAATTTATTACTTTCACACATTATATATTGAAACCAAATACTTTGTGTCTGAAAGTAGAGACTGACTTAACAGACCTGCTCTGTAGGTTTTTGAATATGCAGAAGGTTTCACTAGAACACTTGGTACAGATTCTGTTTCAGTATTGATTTTCTTCCCAAATGTGCCAAACCCTACATTAAGCATTTTTTGAGCCTTTTGCAATCATAATACTAACATAGATCAGGATGACTTTTTCTAGGCCAGAGTATAAAAAAATTGAAAAAATTATGTTGTAAAAAATTATTTCTGCTTACTTGACCATTTCTGGTTGTTGAGAAGAGGTTGTTGCTTGCCAGCGCTGTCAGGCTTGAAGCCAACACCACTTTGGTGATACCAGGATGATTGTTCTATCCATCTAGGATTCTGTATTTTCAGCTTACGAAAGGACCCACCCCAGGGTGGGTGCAGTCCTTCTCACTGCAAAAGCAAGCTTGTCTCTTCTCATGCAGAGTTAACCCTGCAGAGAGGTCCCCACCGCTCCTCTCCCCTTACCTGTGCAGTTCAGCCATTTCTCACCAGCTTCTCTCCTTACCAGCCTGAGAATCCAACAGTCCCTTGCAACATGTCTGTAACATCTGCCAACTGCTTATGCTGTTACCTGTCACAAATAGCGATTTCTGGTATCAGGTTCAGTAGTTTCCTATGTCCTCATACTTTGCTTAATCTCAGGCCAGGCCCTGATGAGTGCCCTCAGTGTTGGCCTGCAGGCCAAGAACTGGCTTCTTGGCCATTTTAACCACCCGTTAAAAGATTACTCATTGCACAGGTATGAAATGGTGTGTGTTGCTGGAGGGACTTCTTAGGAGAACAAAAAACTCAACAAGTTTATTGGTCCTTCTCTGGAAAATTGAGAGTGTAAAACTGTTCCCAGGTGGACATGATTGAAATCAAATGCATCAAAGTTCATCACATTTTTTCCCCTCAAATGCAGAATTTTTTTTAAGTGTTACAATACTAGGAGTATTTCAGGGTAGTCAAAGTTGCCTGAGACATTAAACTTTTTGAAAAAGAGGAATGAAGGAAAGCTTCAAGGGGGAGCATCCCAGAGAAAAGTAAAAGGAAACAGTTTATTAACAGTCCAGGCTTGAAAATACCTGAAAAGGTAAAAACATTGCCACAGTCACAGTGCTGCTTTCCAGATAAGCAAAGAAAAAAAGGGGGAAAAGAAAAGGGAAAAAGTATTTTTAGTATTTTTCAGTGCATGAAGACTTACATTAACTGTTATCCTGTTATACTAAGCTCTGCTGTATTGCCAGTAAGTATAACTATATCACCAGCAGGTGATTGGTTATTGGTATTTTGATAGCCAAACTCTAGTAGATCAATTTCAGGTTCTCTAGCATCTCCCCATATATAATACCCAATTTTCAAAGCTATGATGTGTTATTGCCATTGGTAATGCTACTGTCAATTTGTCTTAGCTTCCCTGCATGGAGGTTATTTTTATTTATTAATTTTTACTGTAAGTCACTGGGTACACTCAATTGGTTGCTATTTTAACAAGATCTCTGGAGAATTCCTCAATGATGATGCATGTTTAAAAAATAGGCAGAAAGCAATTTACTACCAAGCAGATACCAGATGAGCGGGCAAGAGTCTGGAGACAAAAAACCATAAACATGGAATGAGCTTGTTAGTATGTGCTTGTGCCATACTTACAACACGTAATGAGAACAAGATAAGAGGCAAAGTCATTATCTCACTGGAGTCAGTAGCAAGGCTTGATATCAGATCACTTTGTCCCTTGTGTTACTTGTGGGTCACTTAAATACGTTTGTAGCATTGCAGTTACGGTGTATATTTTCCTAAAAATGCCTCTTGAAATATTTATAAAGTATATTTAAAAAGTGTAACTTTGTCCCAACTTTTCATCTGTTCTTTTTCCATAAGACATTCAGATTCATCTGGGAAAGAAGTACTGAGAGTAGAACTACTTCTATATGTGCTCTCCAAAGAAAAGTGCTCCTCCGTGTTTTATGTTCCTAAGTATAATCTTGATGTGGTTGTAAATGTTAAATATAGGTGGTGTTTTGAGACATACTATCTTCTCTGTTTCCAGGTGGGCCATGCACAGGTACAGCTCATGCCTCGTTGACCACACCAACCAAAAGATCTTGCGGCTCAGGTATGTGTTTTGTGGAATCAGGGAATTAGGTTTCACATTATATTTAGCAGTTATAGTTTAATAGTTGAACAGTAAAGGGTAATAACCATACCTGGTAAATGCCAAATGAAAATAAATATTGTTGCTTTGCTGACGGAAAGGTACATATAAAAGGATTAGTATGGCAGGATCTGAGAATCCTGTTAAACATAACTCTGTAAATACACTCTGTTTTCAGTTAGTCTTGTACAAACAAGACATACAGGAGTAATCAGTTTAATGATTGTGACAGTGTCCTGGAAATCCTGCCCTTGAAATGCAAAGTATTAAGTAGAAAACTGTTCTGATTACATTGACTTTCCCCGATTGAAGATGCAGTATAGGTGGCTGATCTTTGCAGGGACTAAATTTTGCCTGCTTTAGGTCATTTTTGATGCCTTTATTTCTATATGCAGGATGTACATAGATAATACCTCACAGCGCTGGTATTAGTAGTGCCATGTTAGGTCATTGCCAGGCTGAAGTGACTTCTTCTGCATCAGATCTGTCCTGAAGAACCACACATGCACTCATTCAGTCAGGCAGCAGAGTTACCTGCATTGGCTCAGGTCTTCTCCAGGCTTTGGTTTTGTGTGGATTAAGGAGAACTCACATGATTCTTTCCACCAGGACCACTGTTGAAAGCCATAATCTCCTGTGACGTGGTGAGTGTGTAGGTAGTTGTAAGGAGTGTTCTTGTAGTCTGAGTTTCCAAAATATCTTTTGCCTATATTTGCATTTATGTGCAGAAAGGAAGGGTATTCCAGTTTGAGTAAAGGCCCTTGCTTTTTAAGGAGTTCAAGGGAAATTTCCTCTGAAAAAGTGTTTCAAGTTCCTGTTTGTTGAGTTGAACTGTAGTTATTCTATAAATGAGTGTTGTTAGCTTGCAGCAGATGTGTGGTGATACAAGTTGCCTTGTTCTGCAGTGAAAGAAGGTTACAGAGAAGCTGCATTACCTTGATCTTGGTGCAGATGCAGACTTCTCAAGTAACACGTGATAATCTGTGACAGTGAGTGTTGTTTGCCAAGGAACTGAATTTGAAATTGGAAGATAGTTCTTCAAAACAGGAAGACTGGATTTTCTTTTCTGTGTAGCCATGGAGGTATATCTAAACAAGATGGAATGTTTGTCACAATATCACTTGCAAACTAATTTGCTTTGCTTATGGTATTACTAAATTTTATTTTCTTTATATGTTAGGTGTTGTAATGTTTAGCTGGTTTTCATGGCAGAGTAATTTAAAAGCTTGCTATGGTGCTACAGATACAGTAAACTGAGAATACTGTTGGAATTCTTTATGTATGTGCTTAGCAAAAAGAAATGTAAGTTCATTATTTGGAGCATCAAATGGCACCAGTAAAAGCTCCTTGGAGTAAAGCAGATGAAGCCATGAGACATGTTGAAAAATCTCATGGCTAACTTTGGTCAGTCATTCTCTTATTTTCAGTTTGTCCTCTGTTGGTCTGTTGTATGTTTTTCATTTAGTGTGTTTTTCAAAAAAATGAGGATAACCTTTATTTGATGCCACCTCTTTAATCTTCAGTCAGCTAAGTCTGCTGATTTCATAATTACCTCAATTTCCCCTGAGGTTCTTACGTTATTCCATCAGTAATCTACATGTTATCTTTATAGTCCCTTACGTGAATAAACCTGGTATCAGGAGTTAGTTTTCTTCTCGAGATCTTGAATTTTCAGCTGACTTTCATTTTTAAAATAAATTGCCATGTTGTCATGGGAATTGAAAACAAAATACTGGCTACAAAATATTACACAGAAGTGCTGTGACATCTTGAAGGCATGAGCAGTATAACATGTAGGTGAACATTTGTCAGGATTTAACCACAAGGCCAAAACATAGTCCCAGTATCTACTGTTAAGAAAATTAACTCTACCCCAGCCAAAACAAGCATGTTCTTTCACACTAGAATCACTTGAGCTTCCTAGGAAGCTACTTAAATAATGCAAGCAGTATTTGTCAACACTACACATTGTTTATAAGCCTATTTTCTGTAAGTATCCTATCAAAGCTATTGAAAGAGCTTTGAAGAAAAAATGTTGGGTTGTATTTTATCTGTGTAATTCTGTTCATCCTTCAAGCATAGTTTTTCCCCAAAGTTCCCTAAATCAGCATTTGAGACAGAAAATTAGAATTTTACCTACTTATCTTATATGTAAGTTTCCATCAGAATACTGAGGAAGGAGACAAACCTGTCATATTTTATCAGCATGAGTGTAACAATTGAAGAAAGATCAAAACAATAAATCTGCCAAGGTACAAAATAAGTTCTTGCAGAGAAAAAAGAGGTTTTACCTAATGCATTTGTCAACCTGCATGCTGTAGGACCTGTTCTGATAAAAAATAGTATTATGATACCAAATAGTGGGGTTTTTCCTCCTGTTCACCAGAATCATCACTGTGGTAAAAGTATTTCTATTCCAGTGTAGCCACAGGACAAGGATTATAGTGAAAAGAATGTATAAAGCCTTGCAATCATTAGTTTGGATGATGCCTCAAAGGCTTCTGAGTGCTGGCAGTCTGTGGATTTTGTAGGAAGAAAGATGGGACTGTGTGGCCTGGTGTATAGCTTCTTGTATATTTTGATTTGTTTCTTAATGTTTGAGTAATGTAAGGATTGATGGCAGGTACTGGGAGGCTTGCTGTAGTCTGCAGGGCATCTACTTCCCATTAATATCAGGTGCCTGTGTTGGGAAAGTGCAGTACCAAGTAGCATATTACTCTTGTTTTTCTGCTGTACAGCTTCAATGATGATTTACTACACAATACTAAACAGACAAATTTTATAACATTTTCATGCAGCTTAAAGAAACCTGGGAAAAATATGATGGAACTGTGAGTTAATTTTTAATTGTTCAGTAGAGAAGGTAGTAGAAATAGGCAGATAAAATGTAGTAATGATACAATCAATTCATACCTTACATCCATAAAGTTGGTGAGGTTTTAAGTACTTTATTTCTCAGTAGCAATTCATGACAAATATGCATCTGTAATATTTTGTATAATTATATGTGTAGATAGCTCACATTTTATGAGAATATCTGTTAGAGATTGGTGTGGTGATGCTTATATTGTACAAGACAAGAATCTTCTATGTGTGTTTTCTAGTTTAAAATTTGAGTCTAGAAGATGGAAATAATTATTTCAATGCTTGAGTAAAGTGGTTAAACAGCACTGTGGTCCTTTTTGAATTTATAGATATTTTTTTACTAAGATATGTATACTAAGATATGTGCACTAAGATATGTGCTTGCTTCTAACAGTGCCAGGAATCAAAATACTTTGAGGTTGAACCTGCACAATTCAGAGGACAGCCTTTAAGGAGTTACAGGAAGGTCAGGTTGTGGAAATAGAAGTACACAGATTTTGAACCTGAGCCAAAACTGTGAAATCATTACATTGATAGATAATTTTTTTAATCAATACTTACGTGTTAAGTAAGGACAAAAGGACCTCATACACCACTAATTAGATTTTCTTTTTTTAATTCCTCTTAAGTGTTAAGCTCCTGAGCAAAAAAAATGCACAAAAGATTCCTGAAGAGGGCTTTATAGCATCTAAACCAACTTTGAGGTCTGTTTTTCATTAATGTTTTGAGGGACTATTAAGATGTTCTTTAGTGTTTGACTTCTGGAGGGCATTGTGTTGAAATCCAGCCTTCTTGGAGCTCTCTCACCAACAGGAAAGGGATAAAGTGATGGTAGAACATCCTTTGAGCAGCAGGGTAAATCAGCCAGCCCTAGAAATAATAGTGGCCATTAGGGATGCACTTCCCCCTCCCTCTGCTCAGTTTCCAGCTATACTAATAGAGCAGCACATCAAGCAAGGCTGTAAATAAAAGTTACAACTTAATAGGTGGGTGCTGAAGTGGAACAGATGGGAGCTGAGATACGGAGGCCTTACTGCTGCTCATCAGCAATTACAAACAGAATGAAGTGCCTGGAACTGGCACTGATATGGCAGGAGCTGATAGAGACTGGGAGATGATGCTGTACCTTGATCAGATGATGTATGTTGATGGCTTTTTACTGCCTCAGTTTATTGCCTATTTCTGTGACATGCTGGATTATCTGTTCCATGCTCCCATATCTATCTGGATGGACAGATTGGTTTCCTCTCCTCCTCGTTGTCTAAGAGCCTTCTCAAAGTGTTATGATTATTGTGGATTAAAATTTTCCTAGTGGTAAGGATCATAGTAATCATAGCAGTAAATATTGAGGACTTGCTCTAATTGTATTTATTTCCACTATTACTTTTCTCAGCTTTACAAAGCCACTCTTGTTAATTGAAAATAGTGTATATGGTTGTCTCGGTTCACCTGAATTTTCTTTTACGCTGAAGGCATCCCGTGATTTTAGATCAATTGAATTAGTTGGAGAATCCAAAGTGATGGGTTTAGGGTCAATATATCAAAAAGTATGTTAAAAGTCAGCTATAGCTGTGATGATCTTTGCCTCAGAGTTTAAAATCTTCAGCTATTCCTGGGAAGGTTTATAAGAGCTTATTAGCACACAATAATTGGTAATTTTTTTTTTTTTTAAAAGTCTTTCTTGATTTTTCAGTCTAGCACATTTCTATGCTAGACATTTAAATCATCACTTTACTAAACTATAGTGAAAAAAAATGCCTTGAATTTTAGTCCATATTTGCTTTGATCTAAAGTTTTGCAAGTATCTTCGTAGTCCATACATTAATCACTCATGCTGTTTACTTTTGAAGAGAATTTTCTTCTAAGTAGTAGAAAAAACACAGCATTAAGAAATGAAGAGGCGTGCAGCAGCATGACAGCATATGAAAACAGTGGCTCCTGTCCCTGTCTATTCAGTACAGGTAGGATAAAATAAATAGTTATTTTTCTATCATGTTATGGTATTAGAACAAGAATACTTTTATCTGCCTTTGTTAAAGTACACTAAACTAAGATGAATGGAAACCTTTTACAGTATTACTTTGAAATTAACTTTC